AAAAAAATATCTAATTTGGGATATACCGAACCGACAATTCGTTCAACCCGGTCCACTTAAAGTTTAATAATCAGTTTTAATTTTTCCTACTGCTCCTGAATTAATTTTACTTTATGCTATCTGTACATGTATCAAATAAACTAGGAAGATGCTAAGGTCTCGTTACGGAACCATTCTGTCGGGATCTGTAACTATTATATCAACTATCTATGACGGTTACATGATGATCTAACAGTTACAAAAATTCCGGCGTAATGATTCCATAACGAGACCTTAGCATTTCCAAAATTATGTTTCAACAAACTCATTTATTTTTTGACCCTTTATTGCACAATTTTACCTTTTACATTAATTATTTTCCTGTCTCCTCCTCCTGCTTTTACTTTGTCTTTTTTTCATCATTTTGTCCGAATATAAGTTATCACATCCCACAAATTCTTCTCGTCCGGACACTATAAAATTGACCCATAATTTTGCTCCCTCCACCCTCCATCTTCCTCTATTAATATAATAATTCCTCTCACATATATATATATACATATAATAATAATAATAATAATAATAATAATAATAATAATAATTTATTTGTTTCCCTGATAGCATCAGCTTTCATGGAGGAGCCTTTGCCTGATCATGCTCATAACTCTACTTGTTTAGATCTAACCATAGCCACAATCTCTTCTTCTTCAGGTACTCAATCAATTCCAATTCTATTGATCCTTTGGCTAGTGTTTAATTACAATCTATTTATAGGGAACTACTACAGTCCCCTTGACGGAATGGTTCCGTCAGTGTTGGTTACATACAGTAGATTATCCATATAACATAATCTATATGTGTATTCAATGGTTAAAAACATGACGATATCATCCCGTAACGGGACCTTAGTATTTTCCATATATATATATATATATATATATATATATTTAGTTATTTCGAAATTTTTACATAAGAATATCTTTGGTGTAATTTTTTTTTTAATTTTTTTTATGAACCTAAATAAATGACGTGTATGTAGGGGAAAATGGTGGAGTGGGAATGAAAGAAGTGGACATAAATGAAGCATTACAGCCATCAGAAGAATGCATGGAGGAAGAAGAGGATGATCACGAAATTAGCCCAATTCCAGGCCCGGGCCCAGGCCCAGGCCCAAGAAAGAAACTCCGTCTCACCAAAGAACAGTCCCGTCTTCTTGAACAAAGCTTCTTACAAAATCACACCTTAAACCATGTACAGCTCTGCCCTTAGCTCCTTCAAAATTAATCCAGCAATTAATTAATTCATTTATTAAATTAGTTAGATGATGCAATTAATTAATTGATTAATGTGCAGAAACAGAAGGACGTTTTGGCCGTGGAATTAAAATTGAAACCAAGGCAAGTGGAAGTGTGGTTTCAAAACCGTAGGGCGAGGTTAGTATTAGTATATAACTAAGGGAAATGCTACGGCCTGGAACCATTCCGTCGGAGTTTGTAACCGTTGGATCATCATGTAACTGTCGTGGGTTGATCTAACAGTTATAAACCCTGACAAAATGGTTCCGACCTTATTATCTCCCTATAATTGAATCATCTAATTGTTACATGTGTCATTTAAGTTACGAGTGTCATTTATAAATTAGTATTTGATCATGTGCATATAAAAAACAAAAATTTATATATTATATGTGCATGATATTTGAAAATTTTAAATTAAATAAATTGTATATTACATTTTAAAATTTTGGCATATACATAAATATAAATTATATAACTTCCACATACATTAGTTTATTTTATTTTTATTTTTTTATGTTATTGTATAACTATAATAGAAAATAGGAATATTAACTGTAAAATAATTTAATATTGTATATTCAAAAAATTTAAAATCTCGTAAAGATGTTATAGAATAAAAAAATTGTTAATTATAAAATTTTACTTGTATAACTGTCATTTGAATGCTGGTCATAAAAATTTTTATTAAATAAAATCTCATTTTTGTTAATTGTTGGTTGAATAAAATTTTTTAAAGTTTGTAAAAAACGTGCATATATATATATATATAGGGATTGGATCCAATGAGTACACATATTTAAAGTGTGAATGTGAGACTCATTCCTACCCATTAGATTGGTACGTTATGTGTGGCTAAGATTAACTCTTCAATTAAATAATAATTCTTTATTTTTATTACTTATTTCTTTATTTATTATTTTAATTATTTAAATATTATTTTGACAATTGACCATTGACTCAGCGTTGAACGTTGACTCCGGCGTTGACCGTTGACTTCCGGCGTTGACTTCCGGCGAAAATCGTTGACTTCCGGTGTTGACCGTTGACTTCCGGCGTTGACCGTTGACTTCCGTCGTTGACTTTCAA